ATATTTTATTGAGAGATCAACGTTGCATAAAACAACAGCTGAAGCCTTTAAATTGTAAAATGTCTCTTACTTTCGTCGTAACACAAGGTTTTATCTAGTCTCGGTCCTGTTTTTGCCAACCTACAGCTATGGTCCTATTTTTGGACACCCTGTTGCCAAATTTTGGTCATATTTTCTTGATACCCGGCTCACGAACAGCCGTAGTACATTTGAATTTCCGAGCCGCGTCAACTTACTGGTCCCAGTTTGTACTGTATCGCCCGGACATTGGCTAAATAAAGCAGGCACTCAATAGTACTAGCCGGTGAAACAATGTTGACGCGGTCAGACTTTATGTTGAATTTACTTTTACTGAAGGGTCAGAGGTGTGTGGGCTGCCCTAGTTCAGGACCTGTTTTCCTGAAGCCCTGTTGACATAGTTCCCCTCTTATTTTCTTGACACCCTACTGCCTATAGTTCCGGTCCTGTTTTCGTGACACCCAGTAGCCCTAGTTCCGATCATGTTTTCGTGACACCTAATAGCCCTAGTTCTGATCCTCTTTTCGTGACACCCTGTAACCCTAGTTCAGGTCCTGTTTTCTTGACAACTAGTAGCCCTAGTTCAGGTTCTGTTTTCTTTACACCCTGAAGCCATACTTCAAGTCCTGTTTTCTTGACACCCTGTAGCCCTAGTTCAGGTCCTGTTTTCTTGACACCCTGTAGCCCTAGTTCCGGTCCTGTTGAAGTGTGTGTGTGTGTAAGGAGAGTATATTATTTATTAGGAAATGTCAATGCTATCCCCCGGCCCTGTCTTCAAGGTATTCAAGCAATTAGATAGATTTTAGAGATAATACTTCACATTCAGGAATTTAACGACATCTCGCACATTTTGTGTAAAATTAATTATCATCAGATTTGGTTTTAACCTAATTCAAATATTTCAAGACTTGTTGTCAACCGGAAACTTGGCCCAATTTACGTTCTTTTTTTCTGATCTTAAAACAAAATTTGATTTATTTTGACTTTTCTTATGAAACTATAACGTTAGGAGATAAAGAATTACACTAAACTTAAACAAAATCTCTAGAAATCCCTTCCAATAATCTTCAAACTAAATTTTGCTAGCTTATTTTTCATTCCTAAATCTTAAATTTAAATAAAGTTCTGTTTTACGCCCCTAGAGAATTTTATTTAGCTTTTGAGAAATGAACTTTCCTACGGGATTTGTGCAATGTGCAGTGTAATATCTGAATGAGTAGTTTTAAATCTAATTGAATCATTTAGGATCTGAGTGGATTAATGCAACTATACACTCTTTGGTATGAGTCGTTTTTGACAATATTGTCCTTATACACAGATATAGGGCAGGGCAGTGGGAAAGTTCTAACTTTTTAAAGGCGTTTCGTTAACGGTTAGTTCCAACTGTTTTAAAAATAAAATCTCAGGTAACCGTTAGTTTTAGAGGGTACGAATGAAACTAACTTTGTTTCATTGACGGTATTTTCCGTTCTTTTAAAAGTTACTGTTAGTTAACGATCTCAAATTTATCAACGGCTTTAACGGAAAATGTTCAATAATCTTTAAGGGCTCTAGCCATTATTGGTACAGTTATTAAAAAATTAACGGTGTTAACAGCGCAAAGCAGGAAAAAATGTCATTGAAGGTTTATTAAATCGTTAATGGTTCTGAACAAAGAAGATGACATTAAAAACATTAAAACACGTAAAAAAACTTTTTATTACATCTGTCTTGCAATTTTCTATCATAAAAAAAACGAAATTCATTGTTTACAAAAAATTAGTTTTGTTTTTGTATTTAACCTTTAATTTTTTTTTCATAAACTGCTAATTCATTTCGTTAACGGAACTTTGCCCAGCACTAAATAGATAGAAGTAAAATTCGTAGCAGTTGATATCAAATTCAGTTAATTCGACGTCAACCTGTAACCTTTAATTTTTCGCTAACACTCCCTTTAAGTAACCCTTCATGTAAAAATGCCAACGTCAGATTCACAACAGTACCTTGAAACCTTTATCTGATCATAGAAATCCTATGTGTGCATTTTCCTGCAGTTGACTTTTGTATAGAAAGCACAATTGAAAATAATCAGTTTTCCAAATTATGATCATAAATCTAATTCATCTATTTATCTATTTGATTGAGAAGTATTTCACATGTAAAAACTATGTAAGCCATCAGTAGATGTGTGTCTTTCTATGACACTATATAAGCAAGTTCTTTCCGATCATAACTCGGGAACCCCTCGACCAATTTGTCTAAAATTTTATTTGGGGAACTTGGGAGAACCACGGGAATGTTCTGAAGTTTTGTGATTCTAAGTTGAGTGTGTTGACTTTAATGGCGAAAATTTAGTTTCCCGTTAAAATCGTTCAAGTGCGGGTAAAAGTTTCAGTAACCTGGGTTCCCAAGCTAGTTTTTGATAATACAAAGCTTATAAGCTAGTACCATTGTGAATCGGGAATTGCAATCTTTGCATGGAGAGTCATTTAAGATTAAGCTTACAGTCCCTTTATGTTTTTTGAACACCCTGTCTGAACATTTAAACACATAATGCCTCTGTATTTATCTGTTTAACTGCAATCCATGAGAATGTTGACAGTTATAAATGCAACATTTAGACCATTTAGCTTAGACCACTACTCTAAATCCTAGATCAGTGAGGGAGGGAAGTAGGGTTTGAAGCGAACAAAACATTTCGCGAAAAAAATGCGAAAAGTTTCGTTCGCATTTCGCAAAAAAATCCGTGAAAAAAATTTTCGCGAAAATTTCGAATTTCACGAAAACCATAGGTGTTGAAGCTGTATTTTGCCTTTTCCGATGAATTGTCGTAAAAAAATTGCAATTAAATTTCGCATTTTTCGCGAAACAGATTAAAGCGAATTCGAGCGAACGAAACGCGAAATGTTCACGAAACGATTTTTCCTTTTCGCTGCAAACCCTAGAGGGAAGGGAAACCATGCAATCGGATGGGTACTACATGTGCCTCTTAATTTTGAAATGATATGCAGAATTATGTGGAAAGCACACATTTTTGAGGATCAATATACTGAAGTCATCAAGCTGAATTTGTTTTGTACTGTCTACTGTCTATACGTGGGAGTGTTTAAATCGAACCCTCTAAATTATTAAGATATCAAGATTATACTTGGCGCGGAAAGATGGAACAAAAGATAATTCCAAAACAGGACAGAACACATTATTTTACAGATTTGAGGAAACATGTGAAGATTAGGAAGCAGCCCATTTAATCATTACGGAAAATACTTGACAGTAGCCTTTTTAGGGGTTCTTAACTTAATTTAGAATAACCTTCATTCAAACGAGGGAGGAAACCACCGGACGCCTTGAGCCTCCGAGATTTGCTAGGCATGTAGTAAATGCCTATCAAAGATCAGAAGTATTAATAAATTATTATAAATAGGGACTAATTATGACTAGTTAAGTGGTTTATAAAACTTGAAAAAAGTTTTACGCAAGAAGGAAAACATTTACAGAAAAAAATCTGAAAGTAATTTTATTTTATATTTTACTAGCCGAAGTGCCCGGCGTTGTCCGTGGGGGAAAAAATTCTGAAAAAAATTACCGAATTTTGTTTAGCCTATAACACCCCCCGGCAACCCATGAGCGTCCACAAAAAGTTTCAGCCCGATCGGTCCAGCCGTCTGGCCGGATATACGCATGTCTTGTTTTTATTATAAAGATAATCTTTTATTTAAGCAATACCTTATAGAGGACGTGGGTCAGACTCTAATAAAAACGCATAAATAACTTCCAGTATATATATATTTCTTATAACTTATTACTAGAGGGTTCAGAACATGAGTCTATTTCAACATCACACGTGTTAGACTGAAGAGATGATATCAGTACTTATGCCCCGTATCCGTTCTATCTCATTCTGTTGAATCTTGTGGAACTAGTTTAACGCGGCCAGGCATCGTCTTCCACAACCTTTTAATAAACTTTTTATCAGTTCAAGATAATCAAAGCTTTGAAAATTGAAAAATAATCTTAATCAAAAAAATCCAAAAAATAAAGGTATTAAATCAAAGATTATAACAAAATAAACTTAGTTACCTAAGAAATGTTTTACTGTAAAACACAAACCTGATACACCACTTTATGAGTAATATAAGATACAAATCATTTTTTCAATTCTACTTAAGATTAATATTTTGTGTGTTGAATTCTTAAACTGTTTTACACTGACACAAAGTCTAATGATTATTCAATTGCTGACTCATTATACTAAATCCATCTTAAAATCACTCATTCACCAACTTTGTGATATTTCAAGATGCAATACTCAGTCAAATTTGTCAAAAATTTCAGTGTAAAACAGTTAAAGAATTCAACACACAAAATATTAATCTTAAGCAGAATTGAAGCAATGGTTTGAGTTGTGCTTTTTTGCGTGACGCGGCTGGATTTTTTAAAATCACACTTTAAAGGCCCTAAATATACCATTTAAAAATGTAGTTTTGCCCGGAGGAGTCAAATGTGGTGGTACGGAAGGGGAAATAGTGGTGGCTCATGGCTGCCGGAAGAGAAAAAAGCTAATATGTGGCACGGAAGGGGAAATAGTGGTGGCCCATGGCCGCCTGCCTTACCCCGCTCGTCTTAATAGTCTACTTTAAAATACCGGGCTTCATCTTTGTTAAAAACTTGGCCTTCGTATAGGTTTTGTACCTTTGTCCTTTAGAGAAAGACAAAAAAATAAAGTTATCAGCCAGCAACAATCTTAACTCAATATCAAGGAGTCGACAGAATTCATTTTAAGGAACAGAGGAATTCTAAAAGGTTATGACACAAGCAAAAATGTAACGGATCAATCAAAAGAAACTTAAGTCCGAATGCTGCCTGTTCTTAGATGAGGAACCCATGACAGTACAAACTATATCAGACAGAAGATACAAAAATAAAAAATTACACAATGAACACAATCATCCGATTTTGAAATCTATATTTTCACAAATACAGTCTTCTTTCAGAGTCGAAGAAAAGTGAACAGATTTATGTTTATTTGAAAAATTTCAAACGTCAAAACAAAATGTATTTTATCGTGCATTTTTTACCACAGAGAAAAATTGACAAAAAACATTGAGATGGAATTTACATCGGTTGGATTCTGATCTTGTGGCTTTCAGGGGATGATTAGGGATTATTGGGACCGATCCCTAACCCTATCACGATCCCGTCGTTCTTCACGACCCTTGTCTCCGCGTTCGCGACCGCGATCCTCGCGATCTCGATCTGAGCGAGCACCACGATCCATACGATCTCCACCGCGATCAAGACGATCACGCATATCATGTTCGTCGCGACGGCTGCCAAAACTTCTCCTATAAGAGTTGAAAATAAAAATGAAATTAATATTAAATAAAAATTATTAAAATTAAAAGTTTTAAACCAAGATACTTGGAAGTTTTATTTTGTATACATCTTTTTGTGTGATATCTATTTAAGCACACCAATTTTGTAAGGCGGAAAAAGATGTCACATTCTAGAATGAAAATATTTGAAGACAAATGACGTAAACTAATTTGTCTTAACTTTTATCCACTTGTTTATTATGGTTAATTTATAACATCTTAACCCCCTATTCACCTCCCCCCCCCCCCCNCCCATCCAATGGGACCTTCTCGTTAGAGATCATTAGAAAGTCAAACACTGAATTCTTTGCCTTTACTGGGTTCCTAGCTTTCGTTTGAAATGTACAAAGGTTAAAACATTCAATTTGGAGGTTATTAGAGGTTGTTACAGGTCATCACTGGATTCGTTGCAGCGACAGTATTGCCTGGGTCCTAAGCTTTCGTTTGAAATTCAAAAACCATTTTCCATTTGTCGAAGTCATTAGAGGTCATAAGTGTCCAATTTTATCTTATTTTTGAAAAATACAACACAAATTAGGCGTGCCGCCAAAAAAGTGGAAGATTTTATCCAAAAATGAAGACAGGGACCCCCCCGGGCCCCCCTCATCAAATAGTACATCTTCACCATCCAATTTTGATTTATTAAAAAAAATGCCTTACCTCTCTCCGAACCCTCCTCGTCTCCCGTAGTCCATCCTAAAAAAAAATATAAGTTACCTCTCAGATTTTCTACTTAACATTTCACTTAGACTTTTTTATATAAAATTGTTACTTACATAATTAGAATTGTTACCCTACCTGTCGGTACGGCGGTTGGGCGGTGATATCGCTACATCTAGAAAATCGCCGATTGAGAATTTAGAATCGCCAAGTGTCTTTGAATCATCGTTTCCCTAAAAAATCAATTGGATAAATTTGATTATAATTTATAAAAAAAACTGATTATCAATCAATCCCTTTCCTACTTTAACAATGGAAATAATTTTTTTTAAATATCTCCTTTTAGTTTTTTCATTTTTTTTATTTTTTTGTTTTTCGCACCTTGTTTCCTGCACTTGTCTGACCGATATCTCTGGATAGGTAGTTTCCCATTCTTAGATCAGGGTACACCAGAGCAAACTCAAACAAAGTCCCTTTCCTGGATTGACGGAAAAATAGATAGATAGATTGTTACGTAGATAGATGGTTTAGATAGGTAGATAGATGAGAGAGAGAGAGGTAGAGAGAGAAAAAAGAATACTACTTTTTCTATCTCTCTCAGTACTCCCTGACCTTAATATATCCTATCTACTGACCGCTATATATCCTACCCCCTGACCTCCATATATCCTACCTTCTGACCTCTATATATCCTACCCCCTGACCTCTATAGATCCTACCCCCTGACCTCTATATATCCTATCCCCTGAGCTCTATATATCCTACCCCCTGACCTCTATATATCCTACCTTCTGACCTCTATATATCCTATCCCCTGACCTCTATATATCCTACCCCCTGACTTCTATATATCCTACCTCCTGACCTCTGTATATACTACTTCCTGACCTCAATATATCCTATCTCCTGGCATCTACAGTCTATATATCCTACCTCCTGGCCTCTGGATTGACCTCCTGACCTCTATATATCATACCCCCTGGCCTCTATATATCCTACCTCCTGGCCTCTGGATTGACCTCCTGACCTCTATATATCATACCCCCTGGCCTCTATATATCCTACCTCCTGGCCTCTGGATTGACCTCCTTGATGAGTCCGGTTAACTCCTTGAGGGAAGCATCTAGCCAAGTATAGATTTGAACCTCGTTCTCAGGAGTGTTTCCTAGCGATACGGTCAATCAATCAAACTCATCGATTTTTATCAAATAAATCAATAAACTAACCAATTGCTCAAAAAAAAAGATTTACTAATATGGTAAGTTTAGAAGAACTAATATTTGTCAGTCTTTTTTTGCTGTTTTTATGCCTTTCTCGAAAAATCATATTTTTTCTCCGACAAGTGATACAAGTTTGCAAAGAGTGCAAAAATTATTTGCAAGTATTTTTTTTTGTTGAATTGAGAAAATAAATGATTTTTAGGAAAAATTAACTTAATTTTTCGGTAAAAATATTTTTAAAAAGTTACAACTTTTATTTCGATTACTATTTTTTTATTTTTCTTTGGATTTATCAAGATTCTGAAAAATATAAACCCCTGTCTGTCTTTCTAAACTTCCAGCTGTTATTAACCAAAGAAAGTTATTGTTCTGATTTGAATAAAAATTTCAAATTTCAGTGTACACAAGAAGACTTTAGGCTAGTCAGTAGTCATCTTAGTGTAAAGAAATAGTGGTGAACCATTAGGATAAACTGAAATACCTTTTCTTTCCTTTTTTAAATAAATTGCACATTTAAGAAACCTGGTTGAATTAGAAAATAATAGCTTTTCAGAATTTTCCATTTCCTTCAACATCAAATCCTGAAACAAAAAGAAATTAGAAAATTTCAAGAAAATTCACGAACGAAAACAAAAAATCTACTTAATCTTAAATCTCTTTAATTGGTACTTAGTATTGCAGAGGACGTTAGTTTCAAAACTAACACTTAGCCCATTTCTAACGCTAGTGTTATAGAAATGGGCACAAATTGAATAACTGGGTTTTTAGGATCCCGGCCCATATCCAGAATAAAAACTATAACCAACATTATATCAAGCATGACCTGGACAACAATTCCCAATTTTAAACAATTTTCTAAATCAAAATTATAAATGAGTCATTTTTATATTATAACCCTTGACGTATTCAAGACAATGTCAGGTTTTCCATTTTCGAACATAGCCTGAATTTGAATTATTTTCGCGTTTTCGAGACAAACCCCACTTTATTAATATTTTGATTTCTCAATGCCTTAATGTTTTTTTCAATTATAAAAGAACAATACGTTTATATTTTCTATTTTGTTTAAATTTTACCTTATTAAAAAATCTTGTTTTGTGGCGTAAATGCGAAAATGCTTGAAAATTGACATTGAAATGAATTCGAGTAATTGTCTCAAAACCAAAGTATGTTTCAAAAACGCGACATGAGCTGAAATGCGGTAATTGTTTCAAAATGAAAACAAGCATCATCAAAAACTAATTCTGATACCTTATTATTAGTTGACATTTCTTGTTTCAATATATAGTTTTAGTCATTTTTAATAAATGTATGGTGTAGTTGTGTTCAACGCTTGAAAAAGATAACTTTACAGATTTGGCATATTTCTACCACTCAGTGTTAGAAATATGCCAAGTGTTAGTTTAGGAACATATTATCCCTTGCATTGGAAAGGAAATATCTCAGGTTTAAGAATAGGGTTTACAGGACAGAGCTTGATTTAAAAGAAAACGGGGTAGTAAAATATATAAATAAATGACAGAATAACATTCTTCTTAAAGATTTAAGAAAAAAAGTTTTCAACGAAAGATTTATGTATCCCCGATATGTAAAATCTCACCTTACTGAACCTGACCCCACCGAGAGCAATATTGACCCCTATCCCTCCCCTAGCACTGCAGTCAGTTAGTGTTCAGTGTTCAAGGATTTTCTTTTTATTTCATCACATTCAATACTCTATACCTTACCTAAACAATTATTAAAAATGATAAAAAATAAAACAATGAATTTTTATTTTAAAAATTGACAACACATTTCGACATAAATATTTTCATAGGCCACCGCTCTAAATTAAATTGATTACAATCCTTTTTTAGATATTCAATTACCAGATAGAAGTGTTTTTGTTTTAACCAACTTTTATTTACTGAAAATTAATATGACTATAATAGAGACTCTCAATATATGTGATATGTACCTTAATCTTATTTACAATTTTTTTTTCGTTGGGTTTCATTTAAAATGATTGGTATTTTTGGTCAGATGACTAATAGTCAGCCTTCAGGTAGATTAATATAGATTTTAATTTTAATTTTTTCTTAATATCGGTTTTTTAGGGAGGTGCACATCAAATCAGTAGAGTCGGATTCTGATCCAAATAGAATAATATAGTAAGTCCGATTCACGACGGTACAGGGGCATATATTTTCTGAGTAACAGGGGTGAGTTTTAATGAAAAATGGAACATTAAAAGGCAAGTTTTTTTTATTCTTTTAGATACTTTTTACCCCCAAAAATATTATATATTTTCCATAATTCAGCGAAATACTCCCTAAATTTTGTTTCCGCTCCGCGCAACCATATGAAAGTTATGGGGAAAATTAATGATTTTTTTAGGAAAATATACACCCCTGCGACGGTACCCTAAAAAGCGTAGTTTGAACAAGAATACAATCTAAACATTATTTTCTCTAAAATAATTATTTTCAATTGTGGGTTTTTTACTGGATATACGGATTTCTGCTTCAAAAACAATATTGGAAATTGTCATAATTCCACATTAGATATAGATTTGAAGGACAACGCTGTGAATAAGGGATGTCACTACTTAATGAAGGGTCAGTTAAAGTTAATACGACACTCCTCTTAACATAATAGCCCATGTAAAAAATGTAAAGTTAAATGCTAGTTTTGACCTCTTGAATATTCTTGAATCTTATTGTGTCTGTGAGAGGAACAGAACACACGGAGAAGGAAGGGAGCTGTCTCCTCTCTGTTAATCATTTTCCCTAAATCCTAAACAGTATTGTTTGTAAACATTTAGTGTACTGCACGGAGAAGGAAGCGAGCTGTTTCTTCCCTGTTAATCACTTTCCCTAAATCCTAAACAGTATTGTTTGTTAACATTTAGTGTACTGCACGGGGAAGGAAGCGAGCTGTTTCTTCCCTGTTAATCATTTTCCCTAAATCCTAAACAGTATTGTTTGTAAACATATAGTGTACTGCACGGAGAATGAAGGGAGCCGTCTCTTCCCTGTTAATCACTTTCCCTAAACCCTTAACAGTAATGTTTGTAAACATTTAGTGTACTGCACGGAGAAGGAAGGGAGCTGTTTCTTCCCTGTTAATCACTTTCCTTAAATCCTGAACATTATTGTTTTTAAACATTTACTGTACTGCACGGAGAAGGAAGGGGGCTGCCTCTTCGCTGTTAATCACTTTCCCTAAATCCTAAACATTATTGTTTGTAAACATTTAGTATACTGCACGGAGAAGGAAGGGAGCCGTCTCCTCCCTGTTAATCACTTAATCACGCAAAAGGGCGGGAGAAGTCTCCTCGCTAAACAGTATTGCTTGTAGTAGCCTCGAACTTTTATTTTCTATTCCCTGTACCTTTGCAACCTGATGTCGTGGAACTTTAAGCGAAATAAGGTAATGTTACTAGTGTTCTACGGCATTTCCGTCCTACGATACTTCGGACCTACGACAGCTGTAGGTCAGAAGTACATTCTATTTTGTTAGTCCGACCTTCGCAGGAACTGCAGATATAGTCAGTATACGGATCAAAGTTCCGGTTGCACACGTAGGTCTACAGTACATCGGACGAACAGCAAAACCAAGTGTGGGTAGGTCTGAAGTATCGTAGGACGGATGTAATACAATCCGAAATAACCCTAAAAATTTAAAGAAAATATTTTTATTACAAGGGGTAAAAAATGATTTTTCAAGAAAATATACACTCAAACCAAATCCACAAAAATATTATGTTTGGAGGAAATTTGGACAAATACCTTTTCTTTCTTGTCTACTGATGCTCCAGACATTTTGTAAATGCAAGGTGATCTGAAATATTTCAGATTATATATTAATAAATACAAAAGATTTCAAAAATTACAGAAGTTACTATTCATTCTGTTAAATATGCTTCTAAATTTTGCCAGTGGTAACATAATGTGCAATTAATCATCGCATTCTTCTCACATTTTCGTTACATCCCCTCCTTCTCTTTAATCTTCTCCTTGATATCTCGGACCTCCTGTTTAAACTTCTCCTTCAAGGAGATGTTCGGACAGGAGCTGATGTTGTGTTCTAACTCCTTCATCCTGGCCCTAAGCAACATTAACTCCTGTTTTAACTCCTGCTCTTGGGCACTCCTAAATATATTGATATGCAAATAATATGTATCTTTAAGTCGGTTGAAGGGAGGTACTAAAAACCCTTGGTTGAATGAAGGGAGGGGACAGAATGTATGTATACCTTTGGTTGAAGAAGGGGGAATATATTTATCATTTATATTTGACTAAAGCAAAATTACATTAAACAATATAAAAGTTTACAAACTAATACTCTTTTCTCTGGATATCGCATTTTATAATTGACAGGGTTTGTCAAAAAACAGGTGCAATACAAGACTTTTAGCATGAGTATAGTTTAGCTATTCAGAGGTGGTTTTCAGAAAAGGGGTTTCTTGGTCCCAGTCTAGTGTTTTTCGTTTTCTAAAAATGTGGTAGGATGACAGTACAGCAAGGCTTGAAAGATTTTCACACATTGCTTTGAAACTAACACTAGGTTTGCAGAACTTATGCAGTTTCTTTAGAATCGCCTTATTTGATGGTGAGATATATCCTCTGGAGCCGATTTCAAAAGGATGAACAGACACATCCCTAGTTGTTATATCTGTAATAAAATGTTACTCTACTAAACTGTAAAGGTGCTTGAACAGGTGAACTATGTTTGACCGGACCCAAACTATCCGACATTCTTAAAACAATTTATATTTAATAGAAATATAACAGAATCGTCAAATAAAAATGGTCAGCATTATTAGCACACCCCGTTGTAAAGGGTCAACATGTAGATGTGCAATTTTATGCCAGTTAAGTTTTAGAAATCTAACCTTTACAAGACGCTGTGCTACATATCAACCCAAAAGGTCGACCTTGTGTGACTTGGGGTCAGAATCCGATTTTACAAAAATCTGAACAAACATGGGGACCCAAAAAAGGCCCCCAAACATGGTCCAAATTTTTTAATGGCCGAAATCATGTTAAAAATGTGTTGAATTGAAGAAGTTTTACTTCTGTAAAACCTGTGGAGGGTGTAATCTGAAGATAACTTGTTAATCCTACAAATATTAAATCTACAGATTGCCCCCCCCCCTTTAGCTTTCCTACCAGAGCCCAAAACTTAAGACAGGGTATCGTTATGAAAACCAGTTTTAAAACCCGAGTTTCATGAATGGGGTTTGTTAGTTTTGTCGATATCAAAATTTTTTGTTATGAAATATTATTTCATTTAGTTTCTTTATATTCTCCACTTTTGTTGAATCTCTTAAATCAAAATCTACAAAATGGTAAGACCCCAAAAAGGAAACTCGAGAGTTTCGTTCCACGATACTCTTTTAAATTTCGGACTCAGCTGTATCCGGTACATGTGTAGTGACACATTAACTGTACAGTACTCTTGTGTACATTACTATCTTAGTGTACGCAAGTAGTTTAATCAGTATGGAGCTAACCATCACTGGAGATGGGTTAAATATCCCAGAGAGACCCGTGTCGAGAGTCCAAAGTCCCGAGTCCCGAGTCCAGTGTCCAGAGTCCAGATGACAGTAGTCCAAAGAGTCTACACCAAGTCCCGAGTCCAGAGGCGTGAGTCCAGTGTCGAGTGTCTAGAGGCGAGAGTCCAGAGTCCGATATCCAGAGATGAGATTTGTATCCATCCTCAATTACACCAAGAGATATTGCAGTAAAAGTACGTTTCTTATTAACTTATTTAAACATTTATCTTTCAATCTTCGTAACTTTATTCTCTGTAACATAAACTAATTTTAGATATTTTTAGATTGAAACCATTGAAATACATATTTAATATTGTCTTTCATGCTTACAATTTGCTGTCTTATATTCTCTTTAAATAGGCTGTAAATCGCCTTAAATAGATTTTACAACTTCGATGACCCCCCAAAAAATATGCTGAAATTATCTAGAGTCATCAATTATAGTTTTTTGGCAAGTGTTATATAAAAAGAGTCGACGAAAATAAATATCAATTCTGTAATCTGATTTTTTATCTTAGCAAAAACGTGAATAAGCGGAAAATAGATAGTTTTAAAGCCAAAATATAAAATTAATAATCAAATTTAACGAAATATAAAGGAGGAAAGTTAGTAATTGACAATTGCAAGTAGAAATAGAGATAAACATAGCTAATATAGATAGATAGGGTAGAAACGAGTAGGAAGAACAAAGAAGAAAATTAAGGTGGAATCTGAGATTTTCCCAGATGAGTCGGTTGTTCAGAGCTGAAAACTTTTGAATCAGATATCCTTAATCCCGATTTTTCTAAATTAGAGAGTTCCTCCCATTTCTGTAAATAATCTCAAATGGCACGCAAAATTTCAAATTTATCAGTTTCATAAACGCGACTCTGATTGGTTGAATTTTATACACTTTTCAGGATACAAGTACAAGATTAGATTAGTCTCGATATTATGAAAAAGAGAGGATCACGCATTAATCTCGATATCCATCATTCTAAAGTTTTCAACTCAGAAAAGATAAACATATTCATATCTTTCATACATTTTTAATACATTTCCTGCAGATATTTTGTGATGAAACACAAATATTTCATTTAAATAATTCTCTTTTTAACTTCTTTAAAAATTTTAATTTAAATCTTACTTTATTTTGAAATATTTTAATTACTCCAAAATTAACTTTTACTCCCACTCGATTATTATTAATAATTCCCAATATGATGTTATTTTTTCAATTAATATTTGGATTTTCATATAAATTAATAAAAATCGGCGAGAACTTCATTTTATTAGTCTTATTTTGGGGGGTCGGAGAAACAAGATTTTTTTTTATCAGCATAACTTGCATACTTCTGGCCATTTTTTCATTTCATGAATTTTTGAGGTCATTTTTTGGGGCCCACTAGTATGTTCAGATTTTTATGAAATCGGATTCTGACCACCTAAACCATTATAGAAGTCATGATAAAGAAAGTTTTTAAGTCACACAAGGCCAACTTTTGGGTCGATTTTGAGAACAGTGAAGAACTCTAATATCAATAGTTAGGGGGGTAGGGAGGTTTCAAAAAGTAGTATTCAGCCAATATTTTTAAAACATTGACCGCCCTTTTATCAAAACTGTACCCTACCCTTTGCGTTAAAAAAAAGGAATTTCAAAAGCAATGCAATGCAGCCTTTTAAAATTTTAAGACGGTGTTTACTGTTCACTGTACATCGAAATCCAACTGATTAAGAATGAAAAAAAAATTAGAGACAAAAATAAATCTTAATGTTTATAAATAAAGAACTGACAAATCGTACTAGCCTTGAGACACCCCCTGTAGTTAAATTAGGATCCGAATAAAGTTGAAAATATTTGAATTGAATTAAAAATATATAAAATCACATTTTAAAAAAAAGCACTTATTATCCGGATCCGTTGGATCCGGGTCCTAGGGACGAAATATCGACCAAAGTTTGCTGTCAAAACACAAGTCTTAATTATTTAATGGTTAATAAAAATTTCCTAATCTCTGAAGATTTCATTAGGTTACAGCATGAAGTAGCGAAACAGAAAAAAAATTGTTGAAATTTTCAACAAAAACTAAATAGATATTAAAGAAATAATATTCAGGACCTGGATCAAGATCAATTAATTACGGGGCGGATCCAGGATCCGGTTGAAAAGCATAAAACCCTAACCTGCTGTCATCTCCCGCACTGAGCCTTGAATTATCCTCACTGTCAATATCAATGTCCCTGAACAATAAGTTAAATCTAAGAGACTGTAGACGTAATTTCAACAACCACTGATAGAGTGGCATGTCCGATTCACAACGGTTCCCATAGAAGCTTTGTCGGATCAAGAATGAATTAGATATCCATGTTTATGTGGTTTCTCTAAAAAAGTGACTTGCACATTTTTGCAAATCTTTGCTCAAACAAGGGTTATGGCATCATTGTGAATCGGGCTTATGACAACACGTCATAAGTTTCTTGAAAAGTGATATAAAACCAACTTAACATGGAATACAAGACTTTAAATGATAAATTTTGCGACCTTGTTTCATCCTCGGAATCCGAGAGGTCAAGACCGAGGTCCTTGGGGTCGTTGGTGAACACTCCAGATTGTGAAGGATGGACGTCAGGGTTATCCTTACCAGCCTCTCCTCCCTAGAATAAAGTTTCAGCCTCAAACTAGAGTTTTTTTAAAAATTATTTGGCCAGGTCTTATGACCCGGTTGACTTGTCAAGTTCAGTGGATAAATCTACAACTTAAATGAAAATTCAGCCAGTCTATGATGAGAAATGCAAAAACGATGAAAACAATTAAAAATTCTATGTTCATTTATGTAAACTGAACTACTGTTTTTGATGAATTTGTCCACCCTTAAAGGGTCATTAAACCTGGAATAAAAACTGCCTAAAACCTAGCTTAGAATTTAGAATTCTTCAAAAAATAAGTTAATCCGTCAATTGTGATTTTTCAGGGGTGTACACTGTACACTGTACCGTATATTTTAAGAAAAAAAAATGAATTAAGAAAATCTGGGGAAGAAAATGAATAAGTGACATTTTTTCATTTCCCCAATTCAGGGAATAAAAACTTATTATTTAGGGATTTATGCCCATCTACTAGGGGGGGGGAATGTGATTTCAGGAAAATATACACCCCTGTGATTATTTGACATTTGCCCATAAACCAATTAAGCCCCGAGTACCTAGTGAAGACTAACCTTGTTGGCGTTGAGTTCATTTTCCGTAATAACTTCCCAATTAACAGTTAGCGCTTCATTATCCGTTCTTAACAGACGTTTTACCTAGAAATAATCAATCAATAAATCAATCATTTAATCAATCCATCAATCAAAAAAAGTATCAACTAATTTGCCCTAACATGCTCAAATATATTCAGTGAAAGGCAACCCAAAAAAAGGACCCTAAAATATTGAGATTGAAAAGCTAATTTTAAAAAAAACATTTTTTAAACAAGAAATATTTAAACGTGTGTTTACCTCTTTCTCAATTTCTGGTGCCTCGACATATTTTTTCTTTAAAGTTTTTCTAAACCTTCGTTTTCTACAGTTTTTAAGCGGAGGTCCAATTCCATGCGGATACAGGAACTTTTTGTCAACCTAAAAGGAAAAGCATGCAAAATAACAAAAACACGAAGTTCAAAGATTGGAATTTATTTGTGTTGATGTGTATTCCCTAAAAATCCCTTATTTTACCTAATTAAGCTAATAAGTATACCATTAAAAGCATCGAGATTTTTTTTAAGAGGGGAGAGGAGGGGGGGGGGGTTAAAGAAAATATATTGTATACAGTAGAGAACACAAATCGTCAAAAAAGCACGATATAAAATATTGATAGATACATAACCCAGAAACAGCAAATATACGGAAATCTTAGCATTATACGAAGAGAATTTTATAGGAAGCTATTTATAGCAATATCTTGAGTCTAAAAGCCGTCTTCCTAATCCAGAGTTTTCGGATTCACACTGAATGAATAGGTTGGATGGATATTGGATACCCCCTTAAAAAACCGAAACGACCATGTTATGCTTTTACCTTATTTGGATCTCGTCTCTTTTTTGAAGGAGATGCGTCCTCTTTCTCAAACTCGTCACCTTCCTTCACAAATAAATTGGTTAGATCCTCATCTTTCAAATTTTCTTTTACATTTTTATTCCTTTGATAAACTATTTCTTTTTACTTTTACTATTTTTTACTCTTAACTCTTCTTTCTTGATCAATAATATCGCCTTTTTTATGTTTAATCTTAAACTCTGATAAATTACCGTTTCTGCATAGTAATTAATAAAATGAAGGAAGGTTTGAAGTGAAGATTGAAGGAGATATTTTATGGGAGATTGAAAGGGTAATTGAGTGGGGGAATTTAAGGAGAATTTAAAGGGGGTTTGCAGGAGAATTGAAGGAGAAATGAAGGGAAATTGACGAGGGAATCGAAGGAAAGGTTGAGGGAGAAAATTAAAGTGGAAGTGAAGGGAGATGTACGAGGGATTAAATGCGACTAAAGGTTAATTGAAAGGGGAATTGAGAAGAGATTAAAGGGGGAGTTAAGGAGAATTGAAAGCGGGTTGGAAGGGGGAATTAAAGGTTGGATTGGAAGGTAGAATTAAAGGATGGATCAAAGTGGGATGAACAGGAAATATACTAACCTTGCAAATTAAAAGCTGGCAAATATCTGCTGTTTTATAAAGAGTCTTGTTATCTATGGTTTTGTGGCTCTCAATTATAGTTGGCAGATCAACCAGTCTACAGAATATAGAATATTAGTGTCTTCATTAAGTAATATTAGTCTTAGGTATATATGCTTAACGGGGCTGTTCACTTATTTGGATAATTTAATGGTAAACTAAGTACCCAATTAGCTATTTATTGGTATGTATTAGTCTTAATTTTCAAAGATATCTGTGGCCATAGAAATAGCCGAATTATCGTGTAGAATTCCAGCGCAAAGGTACGTAACACTTTATACAAAGACAACCTTATTTATCCATTAAACCGGTTCCTAGATTCCAACTCTTCAAAAAATCAAGTTGATTCCTGGCGAAGTAGGGAAAACGAATCAAACCATAAAATGTTTAAAATACGTTATATTTTGAAGAAAACATTTTTTTAAAATAATTTTGAAAAAAAAGAAACATTTAAATTTGTTTTTTTTTTTAATCCTCGACAAAAAGCATCAAATAGTGTTGATGCAAAGGTACCGTACTTTTAGCCTGGAATTCTGAACGAGAAATCGGCTTTTCTCAGGCCATAGTTGTCTTTGAAAAGTAAGACTAATACCAATGAATAGCTACTAGACTAATTAGTTTACCCTCAAATTACCCAAATTAATAACCGGTCCTTTTGCGTCACTGTATAGAGTGACCACAATAAAAACTAATCATTTTTAAAGAGATTAAGTCTTGTGTTCAAAGATTTTGAGGGTACCGTTGTGAATCGGACATGTCACTCTATTACAAAAAGGGTCTCTTGCAATGACGTCTACAGTCTCTTAAAGGAACGAATGATGAGATATTCTATTTTATACTTAAAAAATAAAAACATACAGACGAACCTGCTTGTAAAATTCCATCCATCAAATTGAACTCGGCCCTTTCTCAAATACTGATTGTTGCTCGTCTTATCTGGCTCTAAAAAGTGAATACAGATTAGAAGAAAAAAGTTTAAAAATTATACAAGGTGAGTCAAAAAAAAGTGTGATTAGCGGCGCCTGGTGAAAAATTGTACCTTTTTTGTGCACTCTCCTGTATGGTGCTTTCTCAATATATTATGAAAATTTTTAATTTTTTTGGTATTCCAATGGCCACCCCAAAAAATCCGCGAACCTTTTTTTCTCTCAAATTCAAAAGTTCAGAAAAGCAAAAATGTGAATATAAAATATCTCAATTGAAATTTAAAATTTTATCAAGATTGAATCACAGAATCACAGAAAATTCGCAAAACTAGTGAATTTAAATAATTTTTCCTTAAAAATTAGACCAGAACTGAAAATTGCAATTCTTCCTTTTTACAATTTTGCGAATTTTCTGTGATTCTGTAATTCGATCTTCATAAAATTTTAGGTTTTGATTGAAATAATTTATATACACATTTTTGCTTTTCTGAACTTTTGATTTTGAGAGAAAATAAGGTTCGCGAATTTCTTTTATGAGCCATTGGAATACCCCAAAAAAATATATTTTTTAAAGACATATTGAAAAAAGCATCATACAGGAGAGTTGGACACAAAAACAGTTGCAATTTTGCACCAGGCGCCGATAATCACAGTTTTTTTTGACTAGCCCTGTATGTCTGAAATAATTTTTGGGAACAGTTTGTCTCCGCGCCAAGGAGTGTATAATTTCTCTAGAATATAATCGTTAAAATGTTAACATAAAAGGCATTACCAAAATATTTGTTCTGAACAAAATTTTTAGTGCATGTGATAAGTGTGTACTTCATTAATTTTTGCTATATTCCACTCTTAAGATTTAGAGGGAAAATTAATTGGAATTTTCCCTCCTTTTTGATACTTTATAGTGCTGTCTAAAAATCAGTACATTCTCCAATTCAGAGTAAAAAAAATTACTTTTTCAAGTAAAAAAATATATCCATTTCTGCCCCCTGAGATTTATATATATGAATAAAATACCTAGTTGAATAAATAATCTCTCCTTAAGATTGCTGGCCCCAGATTCTATTGCTTTACGGAGAGCAGTGGCTGCCTCAGAATCAGGCAGTCTGCAATATAAACAAGCATTTATAAGGATTGTTCACCAATTGGAAATTGCACACTTGGTTAATTAAAAGTTTGATGATTTTCATTAAGAAGTTTCTAAATTAATCGATGATCATTAATTAATTGTAACTTACTAAAATAAACTAGGCTTTTAGCCGGCCATTTTCAAATGTTTGCAGATTTTTTTTTTGCTAGCTTAGATTAGTGCATTTTCAGAAATGTTAAATTTCGACAACTTTTCAGACAAACTTATCAACTTCGACCAATAATAAACCTTCCCTGGGGTCATGCAATTTCAAAAGTTTTAGCCTCGACTGGTTCAGCAGTTCTTAAGTTTATTGGATACAAACCAACCAACATACACGCTAAGTTTATATTACAGATTGAAAGAAATATATTTTACCTCATAATAAACTGGTTTTCAAGTTCTACAGGGGGACCATCAGGTAGCTTCTCATTTGACCTAAACCGACAATATTTTTCATTTTCAATTTAATCCGTAGTTCAAATAGTTCTCCTACAAAGACAAGTATACATGGACCAGGCTTTACAAAGTTTATGTACGACCTCTTCTATAGTACTGTGTTCAGGCTTGGCCACCTTGATTTATCAGATATTGAACTGCTTAAGAGTGTTTAAAAACAAGTTTTGAAGATGACTTCAGGCCTCCATAGTACTTGACTATTTTTTGTCTGTCAATAATCCATAATAGTCCTTCTGGTCAAATTCCTCTTTCCTTGTTTGCATGTAAAGGGCTTATTCCTGTTTTCCTCTTATTGTCTGCAAAAGTCCTAATAGTCCGATATAATCCTTGTTGTATTTCTTGTTATTTAGGTTGTCTGGTTTTGTGTAACCTTAAATGATAAATGTATTGTAAATACTCATGAGAAGTAACATACAGTTTTTTTTGAGAGAATAAATTAAGAATGACCGACTTTCTGTAGGTCAAAAACGTGAAAATAGTTAGATATCTTCTTCACTGAAAAGAAGTGATTTCGTCCAGAAATAATATACCCCCAACCTACAATCTCTACATTTTACAATAAACCGTCAATAGTGCACCTTTGAGTCGTATTCCCGACATTAGAGCGGGATTTCCCAGGTCTTTTATTCATTTTCGGCTGTAGCAGGTTTAAGTCTAAATCTGAAAATAAAAATAAATAATTCAATATTTAATGTCATTTTATTGTTCAAAAAGTGTAAGCCTTTTATATACAAAGCCAAAATTCCAACCTCATTCTAATATTTTCAATCGAGTAATTCTATTATAAACTATCTATAGGGATTGTTACATTTTAGAAAAATTACTTGACCCGTTCATGGAGATATTTATGTACGGCTCGTTAATAAGATCATAGCATAATGGACTTATTCATAAAGCAAGTTGTGCGAGGATGTCAAAGTTATGTCTGACTCGCGGTAGAAAATAGAATTGATGTGCCATATCTTATTCGTAAAAATGTGTAATCCTAAAATTATGCGACAACTCGGATTTAATTGACAATTCCTTCAAAATTCCAAAAAATACGGATCCGGAATCCAGATCCACCCTGAAAATAAAACAAACCGGATAAAAAAAAATGAATTTTCAAATAAAGAAAATGAAAAACTCTTTTCTAATAGTTTGTATTAGGGGTTTGAAAGCAAATTTTTTTTTATATCAATGATCCCCCATGGATCCACATTCCGCATATTTTTCCGGATCCGCACTGGTTTAGAAATATAGACCGAGTAGAGAGAAAGAAGGTCACAATCTGAAAGTATATATATATATATATATATATATATTTACACAGCATAGAAAGAATTTCGAGTAAATTCAATAGTGGAGTAACAGTTCATTTTTACATCAAAATGAAAATATGTCAAAACTTTAAAAACAAAATAAATTTTAAGACTGGAGTAAAGTAGAATATTAAAACTATTTAAAATTTTTAAAAAAATTACAAACTATTTAAAACTAAAAAATTGACAGTTCGTATTCCAGCACCCACCATCACCAGCGTCTAACTGATAGTAGTAGTGAATAGCTCGTAAAATGTATTTTATTGCAGAATCAAATTCCATTCCTAACCTTGTTTAGAAATAACAATTAAATTTTGGTTTTTTGGAGGAAAAAAACATTTTGATGAGAAAATTAAATAAAAATGTGAAAACAATTATTCAGTGCTTTCGATCCATTTCATTTTAATGGGGATCCGATTTCAGTTAATAAATGTTTCTTTACATTCATTTTTCTAATTTCTTTTGCAAAAAATTTTTTTTTAACTTATTAAATTTTTTTTCGATATTTTTTTCTTCCAGAAATTTGATTTACCATTTAATGAAATAATATAAAAATAAAAATAAAAAATTTAGCAATGTAAAATTTGTCACAAATAGTAAAAAAGCCGTGTATAATTTTTTTTGCTTTTTTTGGGGGGGAGGGGTTCTTCATTGAATTGGTGATAAAAAATGGCCGGCTAGGGGAAATTAATTAAATTATTAGAGAAGTATGTCCTTTCTGATTTTTCCTAATTCTTAAAATTATACACCCCAGTGAAAAATTTTACAACCAAGGGCAAAGGAAACAAGAAAGGAACGAAATGAAAAAACGCGTTCAAAATTTTTCTCATATAAACTGGACAAAACAGGACGGTACAACAGTTTCACTCTGGAACAAATCAAACTTACACTTCGTGTTCCCACTGATAACGATCCTATCAATGTTCCCAGCTATGTGTTCCCTGATATAACAGTTCCCAGAGGAGGGTTCCATTGATTGTTTTGTTGAATGTTCCATTGCCCGTTCCATAGGCCTTTCATGCGACTGTTCCGTCCTATATTCTTCTATGCCAATCTTTTTGGGAAGCAACAACTAAGAAAATTACTTGCCGTGACTTCCCCCCCCCCCCTCCTCTCTTACATAAACATTTTTGCTAAGGTATGATTCTTCATAAGGATGAAACAATTAGAGCGGGTTTGGTAATAAATTTTTTTTACTACATTTGCAAAATGATTTGTTAAAAATTAAATGTAACTGATTTTGAAAAATTACTTATTCATTCATAATTTTCTTTTCCTGATGTTTTAAATAACAGTTTTCTTCCATTTTTCCCAAAGGCTTAGAATTTGACACTTCGCTTTTCCCAAGGTCCGATGTAGGGGGATATCTTGGCTTGAAGTTTGTTACTTTCCCACTAGTGACAGTTGCCGATTTCCCCAACCCCCGAGGGAAATATTTCCCAATCAGACTTGCCAATCCTTTCTTTGAACCAGGAAATTTCCCCGATCTAACTCTTTTTCGAATATTTCCTTGGAACGATTTGGGAGATTTCTCTACCCCTTCAGATTGCTGAATCGTGCTAGAGCATTGAGCCATGTTTAATTGGTTTCTTACAATTCCTTTAGAAGGTTGAGGAGAAGGATTAACTCCACCAAGACCAACATGTCGGATCTGAGAACTGATTTCACTTCTATCATGAGAAATCCTGGGTTTATAATTGTTTTGGGTAGGATATCCATATCCATAGTTTGAAGTGGCTTGTCCTGGCATCCTGGAACTGTCCGGGTTCTCTTCACAATGGATACTTCATGCACGGGTTTAATAATGAATATCTTAGCATACAGACGACAACTAATTGCAAAGAAGGACTTAGTTCACCCCCCCCCCGTACACATTCAAGTTTATGAGCAAACATAAATAAAATTAAATTTTAAAATTCAGAGAAATGTGAAATGTATAAATTTTATTTTTTCTCTTTGAAGGCCTTTAGATTTATTCGACCAATAAAATATAAAAAATTAAATTGAAAAAACATGGCTTGAACATTTATAACCCCATTTAAGAAAAATGGCACCCTTTGATAAAGTTTTCGTGTTTTAATAAAATTAAATTTGCCCGCCTAGAAGTTGGAACTGATATTTCATACAAATGAGCATCAACGTCCGTTTCTTGGTGGCTCATAGCTTGAAGTCCTAATTTGCTTTAAATAACAGTTTTGAAATCAGAACCTTAGAATTTTAATTTAGAAATTTATAAACTACAATTAAATTTAAAATCAACGATAATCACTTTAATCAATTTATGAATTAGAAGTTCGTGCTCTTTTAAAATGATTCATGGACATTCCTTGCCAAATTTCTTAGTTTAGTTCGTTAAAATATCAACGAAGCCAATTTGGGAGAAACGCTTTGACCAAATTCGGTATATTAAATGACTGGCAAGGGTCTATCCTAGTGAACGATTTTTGGACCCCCCCCCCCTCCTATCAATTTTGTACATGACCATTTATTTTTCAGCAAATTTATTATTATTTATACTAGGAAATTACCCAATTTCATTAATCTACTTACAGATTTACGCTTCAACTCAGTTCTAACTTACAAAATTGTGATAACATTTGAATTTGTAGCTAAAAAACCCTTCAAACAAATTTCTGAATCGGTGGAATTTGAAATTTGACGGTGCATTTGCGCAAAATCGAGTGTCGGTGGGGCCATCCATGTGATTCAAATTAAATCGTCCCATTTGGAAAGGTAGGAAAGCATACGGGATGTCCCACGAAACATGACATTTAATAAATAGTTATTTTTAGTTAAACAAATCTTTAGCCTAATTATATTTTCCTTTGAAATCAATTTTAATATAACATGACTCCCATATAATATTTTATTTATCTTTGCAGGTATCAAACAACTGAACAAATAATGGAAAAAGTCATTTTGAACTATTCACCAACTGTCATGTTTCCTGGGACACCCTGTATATCAGGAATATGACCAAGAGGGTAATGTTACATCGTCTATACGCAATATCCTCCCTACTGAACTTCCGACCTACTAACTTTCCGACCTACTGCAATATCGGACATACGTCAGTTGTTTATTTTTGTATTATTTGAGGGTTAGGTTAGGTTAAGACAATTTCTGGGCCGGGCGCCGCGGCTAGGACAGGCCAGGGGGCCGGGCACTGCGGCCACATGTCCATATCGCAGCTGTAAAACCACGTGCTAGTAGGTCGGATGTGTTGTATAGCGGATTTGGCGTAGGTCAGAAGTGGAGTATAGCGGATATGTGTAGGTCGAAAAATACACCACCGACTAAGAGTTGTCTGTTTATACAGAAACTGCGTAAGGTGGCTTAGGAGTAATGATAAACGAATAATCAACCTTCCACGTAATGGAATTTGGAGGGTACCGTATTCTGTAAATGGGACTCTCGAGTGAAGGCTCAGTTGATGCGGTACTCTGAACTAAAATACCTCAGACAATTTCAGTTAACTTTGACTTGACAGGGGTTAATATTTCCTTAAAAAATCATTCCCTTTGCCCCCACCCCTCATAAAAATTCTTTTTTTCTGACAGTAGCCGTGTATGTTTTAGCAGAGGCTCAGAGCCCAAAAAAAGTGTGGTTTATTTATTCGCTGAATTAGACAAAATTAATGATTTGAGACATATTCCAAAAATTATAAACCCTGTCGACTTAGCCTAGCGGAATCACGTTCACTCCTAACTATATTTGCTATCACAAATTTGCTTTTGGAAGTATATTCTTCACTTTTACCCTTTTATTCTTTGTACGACGGTGATTGCGTCCTGAGTAGTAAACCAATACGCGATTAGATTCAAGTTGAAGTTTATTGTGTTTCTTCAAGTTTTCAAAAAGGTTCTAGAGTTAAGTCTTAATCTCACTCAAGTGTTGACTCCGCTAATGTTTCAAGTTCTTCCGCATGCATTATCATCTTTCATTCTAAAAATTCAACACATTTCTTCTAGACAGGATTATCACAATTTCTTTTATTAGGATAAATTTCGACCAACAAAGGCAGAGAGGATAAAAAAGGGTGTAAATGCCTAAAAGCAATAACAGACATAGGTCTGAAATAAATTAATATTAACACATACATACAGGATGCATCAATTATACTTGGTACAATAAACGAACATGTACAGCGTACACATAGGTAGAGGTGTCCCACAATGTTTACAAGTACAACGAATTGTAGAAAATCCTCCGAATATTAATGAAGGATTTACTATTAGTTTCTTTGTACATTTTCATTAATTGTTCAAAATCTTTTACTTTCGGTTTGGAAGCATCCCTGACTTGAGTAGTTATATGAAACACCCTGGAACAATACGATTAAGATGTACGAAACACCCAAAATAAAATTATTAATGATCTAGTCTTCAAAAAAATTATATTAGTCTACATCCATCTCCGCTGTGGTTGGGGCAGGTGCTGCCTCATTCTCCGCACCCTCCTTGACATCTCCCTCCTCCTTGGTCGGGGTCTCCTTGGCGGTCTCCTCCTTCATGGGAGGAGGTTCAACCTTGGGTTTAGGTTTATTCAAGATCTTAGATGCCATGTTCCAAAATGCATCCTTCTCCTGGGAAACAAATACGAGTTAAATAGGCAGATTATGGAAAATATCCTGCTGTATGACTAAACTAATTCTTTCATAAATTAATATATTTTTTTTCTCTGAAATTCTTCAACAAGGGTTTATCATTTTTGGCCCTTTGGTGACCTAAAAATTTTAAGAAAGCCCCAGTACCAAAAAACTTTTTTGATAAATGATAATCTAGGGTGTAATATTTTATTGTTTCAGGATGAAAAGAATTTTTGTTAAAGTTAAGTTATTGATATAAGTTATTATGATCGATAAATTATGACTCGTGATAAATTCAACTTGATAAGCGGAGGAAGGCAGGCGGCAATATACACCGAAAAAAATTGTGGCTCATGGCTGCCGGAAGACACAAAAGCTTTGTGGCATGGGAGAAGAGATAGTTGCGACTTATGGCCGCCTGCCATTCTCCTCTCATCCATGTTTATTGTTTATCTTTTCCTTAGTTGATTGATTGATTGATTACCTGTATAAACTGAGATGCTAAGACGGGAGGATCAACTGTCTTGGATAATTTGCTGATCTCTGTAGCCATCCTACAGGAATTAAACATAAGTAACCAAACTGTTCAAAATAAATACAAAATGATAAATCGAACAGGTTGTCTGCACAATAAAAAGTGATCCTCCAATTCTAGAAAGACGGCCCCTTTTTGAAAATGTTGGGTTTTTTTTTCCTCTGAAAATTGATAAATTTCAATTCTTTCTCAATAAAATTAACTGCAGATTTATCCAGCAAAGACAAAGAAAGAAAATGTCTAGATATAAACCTATTCCGTAAAAAAAGCTGAAAATTTTTCTTTACAGAAGAGTTGTGAAGGTTTGCTGGGTACCGTTGTGAATTAGAAAAATAGCAATAGTTAAATGGAGGGTCCCTTGAAACCACGTCTACAATTTCGTTAATGAATAATGTACGGTGGTAGGCGATTATAGCAATATAATGAAGACGACTTTGTATTTAAGTTTTAATTGTTATCAAGCATTTTTTTGGAAATATAAGTTTACAAGTAATTAAAGATAAGCTTTTTAATTAACAGTTTCCCTCTGTTTCCATGATTTTGTGTATCCATGCTGTTTAAAAGCTTGATATAAATAATAAATTAAATCGAAAGTCGTCTTTATTGTATTAATAAGATCGCATACCACTGTGTAAGTATGAACAGATAAGATGTTTGTTGCATTAAAGGTTAAAACGCGCAACATATAGCTTGTGATGAATGAAGAAATTGCTTTAAGAGAAATCACTTTTAAGGCTTTAGCAATAAAATTGCAGAATTTTGAATGTTTTGTCCATTGCACAAAATCGAATGTTTTACCTTTGATACCAATCTGATTTTTCTGCAATAGCTTTCTCAACCTTGGAAACTTCAGCTTCGTCCAGATGATTGAACTTCTCATCCTTTGCCTAAAAAAAAAAAATAGCTCCCAACCGCAAGGGTACCCAGTCGTCAAATTATGACGAGGAATAAACTTTCTAGATCCCACCCCACCTCCTCTATTTCTCTCTTAAATAAATGAAGTTACTTGCTCAATACAGAGCAAAAATTAATCTTAAGATTTTTTTTATTACTTCATGGCAACATTAAATTAATGTTTCGTAATGGTTAGGTTCTACTTTCGTAGATGGCCTTAGGGGAATCCTTCATCATAAGCCTATGGACGGGTTACTGCTATACATATACATCCCAGTTCTATTTTGAATTAAGAATCTGGTAAATTATGGAAACAGGATTTGAGCTCTCGTTTATTCCCACGTATCAATACTAGTTAAGTTTGTGTAGTGATTGAACGGATTGTTTTCATACCTTAAATGAATCGACCGCCTTCTGTGCTAGCTGTAGACACTGTCCGAACTGGTTCATTGCTGCAGGACGGTCCTCCCACTCTCTTCTTCTTCTTTTCACACTCTCTCCAGTTCCCTTCAGCTCTCCCAACTTATTCTAAAATAAGAATTAACTATCAAGACATTTCTTCTCCTCTCTTAAACTTTTATCCGTGTCTATCGTNTAAAAAAATTAGGGGGACGAATAAATTGACATCAAATATTTTTCCCCTTAGCGAAACTTTTAACATTATAAGAAAATATGTATTGTATTTGACGCGGGGTGGGTATTTTCTCGGGAAAATGAAAATCCCTCAACTCATCTATCCAATTTAACTACTTGATCCAAGCCCTCTCACCTGGTAGACGGATCTCTCTGCGAACTCTCCGTCCTCGTACAACCAGTTCTCCATGTCCTCGAGCTTGAGACTGAAACTGTTCCTGTCCTCCTCCTTCATGTACTCCTCCAGCTCCTCACACAGCTTACCCCTACACAATAGAGAGTTAGTCTATATTTTTTTAACTATACGCCCAAACTACTGAATCGTTAAAAACTCGTTAAATGGGACCTCAAGAGAAGGCTTAAGCGAAGAACGGACGGTTAGAATTTAACAATTTCACCACTAACAATTTATACAATCCCACAGAAAATGTTCCGAGTAAAATAAAAGAAAGCTTATCGTAAATAAAAAAACATATTTAGTTTAGTTAAATGCAAAGTTCCTTGAACAAAACTGAGAATGGATCACAGCTGGCTCATTGAAAATCTAGTTTAAATTTATCCTTTAACCCCGAAGAACCATTAAAAAGCTTCTTTCACGTGTTAATGGATTTGAACCGAACCAATGAAAAGATCTTTTTTACCAGTTACCTGATTTCATAAATATACTCTTCTACAGAGTTCTTAGCAGTTAATCTGTCGGCTTCCTAACAAAAAAAGTCTTAAAAATTTTTGGGTGGATAAAATAAACAGAATTAAATTAGCGAGATAAGAAAACTGAAGTCTTTACTGTGTCGTGTAACATTTAAAGTTTGATGTAAGTAAATTTACTTCACAGCTCAAACTCGTAGTGTGTAGTGTGTAGCCTGTAGCCTGTTACTTTGTACCTGTATATCTTGATTTGACATACTGTGTTCCTCTGTAGCTGCAAACTCAAGTTTATCGTGGGATAGACATCCAAGCACCCTAAAAGTTCATTTTTTGTATTTCAAAAACTGCGTTTTTTTAAATGTCTAATATGCCTGAACCAGTAAAACAAAACCCCACAGGATCTGACACTCATACCCTCCCTTGTAGACTACCTAAAGCTGACCCCCCTACCCTCCCTTGNCTACTTACTCTCCCCGTGAACTACCTCGAGTTGACCCCCCTACCCTCCCTTGTAGTCTACCTGATGCTGACCCACCTACCCTCCCGTGAACTACCTGGAGATGACCCCCTTACCCTCTCCGAGATATACCTGGAGGTGACCCCCCACACACTCCCCGTGGTAAACCTTAAGCTTGATAACCCTACTCTATCTTCGTGGTCTACCTGGAGTTGACCCCCCCCCTTCCCCTCCGTGGCCTACCTGGAGCTGACCGCGAGATCGATAGTCTTGTTCACAATCTTCTTCTTAATTTCTGTCTTCACCTCGCCCTTGGCCTATTAACAAACATTGAAGATTAGAATTAATTTTTAAAATTCATTAAGTGAACCTTCTCCCCCCCCCCCATCTCCTCTCTCTTTCTAGTAGGATAAATACAAAAAATATTAATTTGATAAATATTCAATATTCATTTTATATTTCATTATTCCAGCCATATGGTCTCATTTTGGTTTTAATAATAAAACCAAGATTGGATAATTGGTAACAGTTGGTGTACACCAACTGATTGCCAAGGATGGTTACTGGGTAGGGATTAGGGACGGCTCTACTGAATTCCTACCGGCCCAGACATATCAACATATTGTTTATGGATTAATTCCGCTGCTTGATTGGACATATTTTCACAATTTCTAGCAAGTCATTGGTTTTATCTCTTTTATACATCAATATACAGCTCCATGTTCCTGTTCAATTTTCTTGCAGAACATTGGAACATCTAAACCGATTTCCAAAAATTTATTTATTTTCCCATTTCATATTAAGAAAAGATTCCATCAAATAACACTTATATTTCAGAAAAACTTCAGTTAACAAAGAAAAAAAAATTTCTTAAAAATATTTGCTGTTTTGTTTACCTTCTCTTTGTTCTCCTCCATTGGAACATCAGCAGCTGGTTTATCTGCTGGTTCTACACCATCCATTCCCTCCCCACCCTCCTTCTTCTTCTCACCCTCATCCTCGTTGCTCGTCTCAACCTCCATCTCTACAGGCACCTCCTCCTCAACCTCCTGACAACATAATTAAGGGTTATTCGTGCCGCCTTTCATTTTTTTCATTAATCAAATTTTAAACAATAGTAGTCAGACAGTTGAAGTATAAAAAAGGGATTCTCATTTTTTATATAATTTTAAATCTGGAAGGGCTAACTTAAACCTACTGTAAAGTTAACTAAAATTTTTTTTAAATCAAGAATGCAACTGTTAATATTACATTTATTCTTATTTTTTTAATCTGGATTTCCAACAGCTCTTAAAAAAGTAAGTTATTACCCAGATTGATTATTATATGCAGAAGACAGTTTATGGAATTTAAAAGGGGTTCAGCCGTCGTTAAAGCTTTAAGTTAACCATGTATCAGAAAAGCCCCCATCCCCCTTCCCTGTGACAGAATCTATCCTTAATGATGGTGCTGACTTGAGAATGGTGAATTTTTGATTCTGGTCTAATATCATGATTTTAAGCAGCTGGTAAAAATGTCCACCTCGGGGGGGGGGGGGGATGGTGTTTTATTTCATCTTAGCAAAAAAAATGGTTTTACCTGTTTCTCAATCAGACTCGCATTGCTCACGTTAAAGACACCGTTAGGGTTAACCCTAACCTTAACTTTCACCTTCTGCGGACCTCCTTCAGCTGTAGGTCGGACCTCCACTACAATAAGTACATATTAATCATCAACTCATCAACTCAATTCATATTTAAAAGAAATTCTTTTATTGAGTTAGTGTACAAGATCTTAACTTACTGATTTCAAAAACTCCAATATGATTGGTTGGATAGGGGACAGGTGCAGAGTACTCCCCTGTCACACAGAACGCCTCTGACTTGTAGAAGGTTAACATCTTGCTGAAGGGGACAGCGTGGTTCCTGGGGAACACCTCCATCTCCCCACAGTCCTCCTTGTTGGCTCCGCTCCACACCAACTTGATCGGGAAGGGTTGGATGTCAGTTACGGAGAATTCTCGAACCTTGAAAAGAAAAACAAATGTATATGCAGAAATGAATATTATTTAGAACGAATCATTTCCTCATTTATTTATCCGTTGATTTTTTGTTGTTGAAAATCTAGGGGAAGTAAAATGATTTTTAGAGTGAACAAAATCAATGAATAATTAATCATTATCCCTCAAATCTTCAAAATTCACGGTATCCCCAACTGTACCTTAAAGGTAGGACTGAGCATGGCGCACTGTAGTGCACACCCCCTTGATACAGCTTCATCAGAGTTCAGAGTTGTTGATGCTACTTTCCCATATATCTAGATATATAATAGCGATTAATTAAGGCTTCTTTTACGTAAGTAAAGATCAAAGTGATATTGATGCTACTTTTCCATAAATCTAGAAAAGCGATTTATTGATGCTTCTTTTCCATAAGTAAAGATCAAAGTGATATTGATGCTACTTTTCCATAAATCTAGAATAGAGATTTATTGAGGCTTCTTTTCTATATATATAGAATTGATGACGATACTTTTCCATATTTATAGTTCAGACTTTAGAAGTTGTTAATGCTACTATTCCATATACATATACATATATATAATCTACATGTATATGTATATATATATATATAGATTAGCGATTTATTGAGGCTACTTTTCCATATATTCAGAGAGTTGTTAATGCCACTTTTCTATTTATAGAAAGCGTTATTATCTTATAAACCTAGATCATAGTTATTTCAGTACTTTTTCATTTTAGTTAACAGCCATTAAAGTGTATATCTATGTAGATAAGACGGCTATTTTAGTGCAATTTCATAAACCTAAACAAGAATTATTTTCTTTATATGAATTATTATCAGAGTTGGCATAAAAAACCAGCCCCAAAAAAAAACAATAAAACCCACTTTAAAACTCCCACCTTTAAGTGGGCTTTATTGGGATTTATTGTTTTATTTTTCTAATTATTGCCTTTTCCTCACTCATATAATGATAAACTCTTCTAGAAATAAGTTCTACAGCCCACGGTAATGATTTTTAGGAGTTTACAGAACTAAAACTGAAAAATTTATTCATTTCTAAATTCTGCCTTTCTGTTCCTTCAAAATAGGCCGAGATAAGTTTTAGTTAGATTTCATTTTCATTTAATAAAACGAAAATTTTTAAATTTATTAAGATATCATTAATATTTCCTAACTTTAATTTTTGAACGCAAAAAAAAGGCAGACCACATTATGGAAATGGCAGGTCTAGGGCTATTTTGTGAATATCGTTTCATCAATCTAATTTGAATATTAGTAAAATTAGATTGACAAATCACCGCCGTAAACTGTTTCGAAGATCTAAGACCATTGTAAATAGTCGTCTAATTAATTGTTAACTTATTCAGAGTCTTTCTGGTTATGACTGTATAATATAAAAAAATGAACTTAGAAGTATACTCATTCATCATTGCTTAAATCGTCATAAAATTATGAATTAGCAAGAATTTTAATAGGTTTTAACTACTTTCAGATTGAAAACTCCAAAAAAACCCTCCCCCCCCAAAAAAAAAAAAAAAAAAAAAAAACAATAAAACCAACAGGGCTGGTTTTTCCATTAAAAACCCGGGGTTATTTTTCCAACCCTGTTTAATGTAGATTGGACAGTTATTTCAGTACTTTATATATATTAATACAGTTTTAGTACTTTTCTTTATATCTGAATTGGAGAGTTCTTATTATAGAAAGAATTATTTTTCTTTCTTAAGAAAAACTAACATAACCAACCAATAAACCAAACAACCATTGAACCAACCAACCAATGAATCAATCAATCATCAACCAATCAACCAACAAACCAATGAGTGAATCAATAAATCAACGAACCATTCAATGAATCAATCAGCCAACCAACGAATCAACCAACCAACCAACCAACCAACCAACCAATCAACCAACCAACCAACCAACCAACCAACCAATGAATGAATCAAGCCACTAAAGAATCAATCAAGCAACTAATCAATCAATCAAGGAATCAAAATAAATAAATAAATAAATCAACTCAATCAAAATCAATCAATCAACCAACCAACCAACCAACGAATCGATCAACCAACCAACAAGCCAAACAACCATTGAACCAATAAACCAATGAATGAATCAATCAACCAATGAATGAGTGAATGAGTGAATAATTGAACTAACAAACCAAAGAATCAATCAATTAACAAGTGAATCAATCAATCAACCAAATAAACAACCAACCATCCAACGAATCAATCAACCAACCAACTAATGAATCAATGAACCAACCAATGAATCAATCAATCAACCAACCAACCGACCAACCGGCCAACCAACGAATCAATCAACCGACCAACCAATGAATCAATCAATAAACCAGCCAACCAATAAGTCAATAAATCAACCAACCAATAAATCAATAAACCTACCAACCAATGAATCAATAAATCAACCAACCAATGAATCAATAAATCATCCAACCAATCCATCAACCAACCAACCAACCAACCAACCAACCAACCTGTTCAATAAGAGCTTTGATGGTAGGTATTCTGCTGCTTCCTCCAACTATTTCCACACTATATATATCTTCTTTATTCAATTTACTGGACTCCAAACATTCCTTAAGAGATAAAATGTACAGGGGTTCATATAAAGATTTAGCGGCAGATGTAAAGCTTAACTTGTAAAACTTAATTTTAAAGGTTATCAAATGGCATAATGTTAAGTTTTCACCCAGATTAATCCTAAATCAGAACCTTGAACTATTAGCGCTCCTCAGAGTATCAAATTCGGTACCTTGACTAGGATCTTACATAATCTTCGTAACAACTTCCCCAATATAAAAAACGTCCACAGTAGAAATGAGTATCGGAAGTGAAGTAGACCAATGGGTAGTATTTAACTTTGTCTTTCGAATAATGTTTCATCATAATTTTGTTAACTCATTACCTTCAAGGCTTGCTCTATTTTTGCCAGCTCTGGGGCGATTATCTCTAGGAATGTTGCTCTATCCATGCTTCCTAAATATTAATATTACACTTACTGATTTTTTCATATCATATTTTTAAAAACATGTTTTTGAAATAGTTAAAAAATTTGATATTTTTAAGAATATTTTATATATAATAAAAAATTTGGAAAAAAATTTATAAATGACAAAATTAAAAAACTCTATTTATAAAAACTTTGAATATTTTCTTTGAAAAATCAACAGTTGTACTTTTGTAGAGAATATATGTTTAATATATGTTTAAAAAATATCATTTCAGCATTAACCTGAACAATTCTGAAGCTGTTTGACATAATATTGCAACAGATATTAGTATAGGGTGTGACTGTAAGGCTTAATAAAGAAAAATGTTGTAAAATCATCGGCTTCCATTCAAAATTTTCTCGCACACGCGTCCATGCAGGATCGTTTAATGCAGATTCCTGTTAGTCAAATAGTTTGATGCAAAATTTCAGAGATTTCTGGATATCAAGCTTCTCTCTATTTTTGACCGTTTGTTGTGAGAGCCTGGGGAGCAATTGATTTTGAAGGTATAACAAGATTTAAAATGATAATGTTGGAAAAAAAAATTTGAAGTGAAAAAAATTAACAACATTCTTAAAGTTTAAGAACTTAACCCGCCGAAAATTAAGAACAAATTGCTGTTATAAAGCCAAATCTTAAATTTAAGAACAGGGGGCAACAATGAATTGGCTACTCTTATATTGTTGCCTTTTTTAATAAGGAATGATCTAACGGGAACATTTAAACGCTTGTAAGATTATAGAGAAGAGAAGATTAATCCTAACCTTTCACGTCGATATCATCCATGAAGCACTCAATGTTGAGAGGGAGAGGGTTGGAGTTGGCTGACATGAGTTTTTTCAACTTCTCCGCCTCCACCTGGAGCTTGAGGACGGCCTTCTTGTTGTTCTTCACGTCAAGCTTGTACCTGGAGAACAGGAATGGTCAAACTAGGAGATTATATTGTCTTTCTGAAAACGATAAGGAAAATAACGAATTTTGGGAAGAAAATTTAACAACAATTTCGTGGTAGGGTTAAGATTTTGAATAATGATAAAAAAATGCCAATTTAGAGGAAAAATCTCCATTTCAGTAAAGGAGAATTTTGTAAACTGACATTGCAGGTAATTCATTTTGGTTATTACGTATAATTCATGTACGTGTAAATTCCAAAGTCTAAACCTGGTGGCAAAATCTTGAATGAAAAAGTTGCAGATTGCTTCGTCGAAGTATCGGCCGCCGACAGCACAGGATGACGAGGAGAGCATCGTCAGCTTACCCTTGTGAAAACTGCATGCAGCAACCTGGGTCCCGGTGTGCCCTGAAGTAAACAAATGAAATAACTTTTCAACATTATTTAACTTTCTCACCAACTAGCTTTGGAACCCAGCGCGGCCCTGGGTATTCATAGTTACTGCCGCCGTTCCCCGCGCTTGGTCGTAATTTACGATTTTACCAATTTTTCCCTTTGAAATTAACAAAGCTAAAAACATTCCCGTGGTTCTCACGAGTTCCCTTATCGAAATTAATGGCTGAACATCCAAACGAACAAAAATACCAACATCTAAGAAACTGATTCATTCCCGTAAGAAATTTAAATTCAGTGATAATAAAACCTTAAAATAAGTGGGGAAAGAATAATGACCTTTCGATTCCCAAAACTGACAAATTAGACTGGATAAAAGGGTCGATCTTAAAATCTTTAAATTTAAGTTATTAAATATTTGGACATGGGTTAAGTACGAATTTAGGACAAACATGGGAAATAGATTGAGATTCAGGTAAAACGACAAATGTGGAATCAACGTCATCTTCAGTCAGATTGTATACGTTTATAATTCCAAACACGAGGTTAATATAAATCTTATCAAATCATTTACACCCCCCCC